GCCTACAGTATTTTTACAGTCTTTATTTTACAGTTAAAAGAAATGTTTATCAAATAAAGTCTAATGTTACAACTAATCAGGGATCCCTTTAAACTTCAACAGAGTCCACGCCTCCTGCAAGAAATCCTTTTTCAATGGCTGAGGGTCCAGACCCTCTGAAGCAAAGTGTAGAAGAAGGAGCTGGTTTCTACCAGGCTAAGAGACAGATAAACTCATACAAATATAATCACTAAGAGTTAGAACTGCTAAAAGTCGATACAGTTTTTTTTCCTCACACAGATTTTAGTTTTACTTTGTCATTGTTTCATAAATAATAATAGGTTGTGTTTTAATAACTTTAGAACCTGGTAAAGACCAGAGCATTTGTATTGTTTTGATACATAAAACAGCTAAATTTTCCTTCACTTTCAAGGGTTTTACATATCAGGACCCATCACTGTCTTTATAGAAAATAGCGACATTAAATTTAGGTAATATAAGGTAAACATAAAATAATATGTGGCTTACATTAGGCAACTGGTCAGTTATTAAACAATGAGGGTCTCGGGGTGTTCTTTGAAACTTTATCTACAAGATGCAGTGCAACAAAGAAATAACTAAATCAAGTTGAAGTACAATTAAATTAAGGCAAAAAAAATCATCAGCATGCACTTACAATTTCTTCAGAAAAGTGTCTTTCCAAGGTGGCGTTGCTTCCCTCATTCCATTCATACTTACCCTCCATCTTACATCCATGCTTTACACTCATCACATGTTCTAGACAGAGGGCGAAGCCGAGACTATGTCAAACTGAAACTCAGATTGCAGGTCCAACAGAAAACAGTGGCAGCATGCTCTACATATTTTTAATGAAAAAAAAAAACAAAAACAAAAAGTGTTCACGTAAAAATAAACTTTCATCTACAATGTAAAACGCTTTACTTCACACATGCATTTTCTAGAAACCATGGAGCGTTATCTGATGAGCTGCGAAAGTTGGACACGAGTAAGGGACTCAAAATTGAGAGAAAAATATGCAGTTTTTTCATTGCATTCTCACTGAATTCTGAATGTTTGTGACCAAGTGACCCATAAACTGTGTGGCTATGTTTTGAGTGGCCACTGAAGTACACTTTTGAAAGAAATATAGATGGATTTGGACTCGTTATTTAATAATTAATACTTATCATTGGTGGTTTTAGACTCAGGATATTGCCCTGAATGCTTTCTGTCTAGAGTTGGGCAAAATTGTATTGTGTGCAATTAATCATCAGAACAACTTTAACAGATTATTTATTGGCACTTGATTATAATACGATTAATGCCACCAAGCAGACTGGAGATTGTCCCGGCCCGTCTGCTCGATGCCCCTCTCTGCTTTAAAGGGGCAATATCATGTAAAATCAACTTTTTTGAGTTTTATATCATGTTATAATGTTATACTTTCATAAAAACATGCTCATTCCCACACTCATTCATGCATGTTTGAGAAATCCTGCAGCATTTTTAAGCAGCCATGCTGAGGAGTAAAACGACAGGTGGGGACCAGAAACGCCTTTTTGTACCAGAAATGCCCCTGGGATGTGTCTTTAAGCCAAACTTCCTCATGGCAGAGTGCCCCCCTCCCCACCCATGACTCTTGCAGGCTCTCGGGTGAAAGTGAAACCTGTCTGCTGAGCTCTCAACATTAGTTCTCACTCAGTGAAGTTCTTTTCAGATTAAAAATACCTTTGAGGAAATGTATTTTCAGATGCCAAGGAAACTGCATCATGGCAGCACCCCCCCCCTGCACTGAAATGGGCGAGACAGAAGCAGAAGGTGGTTCTTAAAGAGACAGAGGCCAATTTCAAGGCGTTTAGAAGAGGAAGTGATGAGAAGATAAGTTTATTTTCTATTTAAACATAAAAACAGCATTTTTAATAACAGCTAAAGGTGACATAAATACTTTATTATGGTATTAGTATTTAAATATATGCCTGAGAAACACATAATATTGCCCCTTTAAATACAACAAACCTTTTTTTAAAAAGTTCAGTAATTTTGTTTATCATGATTCTGGTTTTACTTGATCTATCAACACAATTAAAAAATTGATGTATAGCCTGAAGTCTGTACTTTTGACACAGTTTGGAACATATTTTTACAGAGAGCAAATTTTTCCCACTAGAGTGGTTTAAGTTGGTCATGTAACTAGGATATGAGTGCGTCCAGGGAATCGCTGTGTTATTCATTTTTGGCTAAATACTACAATTAATCGTGATTATTTTTCTTTTGCCAATATCGCCCAACCCTATTTCTGTCAAAGCTCACACGCCGGTGTCAAAATCCAACTCTCAAGTTCTTGTGACAGTTGGAGATGCCTGTGACAAAACTAAAACAGATTTAAGATACCCACATTATCTCTATTGTGAGAAAAACCTTGTCACACAAATCTTTTCTACATGTTCAAAATTAAAGCGACAAGACTTGTGAGAAGATGGAGAAGCCCTGCAAACTTTTCCAAACTTTAGGAAAATCCCTCTTAAACTACAAATGCCAACAGTTGCAGCCCAGTCAGATATAGCTTTACAGCAGCAGCCGGTTCAGGTATGGCAAAACTTTGGGCTTCATTAAGAGAAGTCACCTTAAAGAACTGCACATGTATTGTGTGACAGCAGGCAGGCCCCTTCCCCTCCCACTCTAGTGTCCATATGGAAGAGAAATACCAAGAGGAGCGAACCAAAACAATGTGGTGGTGCACCAAATAATAATAAAAAAATTGCCACTGCAGAATAAAACAGAAGCAAGTCACAAGTCCATGAGCTGGTATGAATGAGAATGAGAGGCGTTCCTGGCTGTGTTTGGCTTTCTGGCTCCTGTGATTGGGGATTACCTGGGATCGGGTAGTGCACAGCCCCACAGGTGTTGTTTTAGGGTCTGCACCCAGCCAATGTCTCGGATTGGCTGGCAGAGTTGTATGTAGTGGTACTGTTTTAGCACAACCCTTCAAATGAATCAGAATGTCACTCATTAGCATCGCACAAACTGAACACAGCATCATCCAAATGTAAAATAATTTCATATATCAACAAGTCTAACATCATACATTAGTGCTTTTGGTTGTTAGTTTTAGTTATTTGTACACTAACTAGAAGATGGAAAAGTATCCTATCCTGGAACAAGTGGCCAGGCATCTTTTGGCACACATGTTGCCCCCATGAACTGGTTGAGTTCTTGGAATATATTTAGACACGATGCAAAAATAATATATTCTTCAGTCCTCATGTGAGGGTAACATGCGCGGTTTGGAAAAGATGCTCACGCCAGTCTTGGATAAGCATAGAAAGAGGCAGCGAGAACAACATTCTCTTCCATGTGGAATCCTAAAAAAATGTCTGTCACAAAGACAAAAGACAGGGACAGAGGAAACGCTGACAGATACCTGCAACCAGCTAACCTCTTYCCAAAAAAAGCAAAGAAGACACCGCTTTTTATGCTTTTTGTATTTATTTGTAATAATTCATTAAATATGATCAAGCAGGTAGAACACAAGCACGTCACATTTTTTTGTCTAAAACATAATTTCTATTTGATTTTTTTTGCCTAAATATTACATATAGATAGCACCAGGTGCGTAGTGTACTAAATTACATTTATTTTCCCCTCAAAGCCCCCCTCCCTTGTGTTACATGACAAGGTGCCCCCACCTCCCTCCACCACCACCAATCAAAGGCTGCAAAATGTTAATGAGTTGAGTCTTTATCCTCGATGGGGTTTGCACTCAGCTTGGATGGATATGGTGGTGGTGATGGTTGCTGAACACAAAGACACAGAAAACAGAAACACAACTGTCACTCATTATGAATGAAGGGAACGATGGTGAGCAGCAGATAAAACAGTGAAGTGTGTGTGTGCATGTGTGTGTGTGTGTATATCAATGACAGATTGACCCACAATAAGACTTCTAATCTAAAACAAGACAACTCAAAAAGTCTCAGCTCATATCGTTAAAAGAAAAGGCAAATCTAAGAAGCAGTGAAAATAAAACAGCAGAGCCAAGGGAAACAAACAAATAACTAACTGTTCTGTGCCTAAAAGCATTATGTGGGGAGTCTAAAATGTCCCCATGCACCTCAGTAACCCAGGTAGAAAAATCAAGAAAAGTTAAGTAGGTCCTCTGGTCTGGAAGAAGAACCAGTCCAGAGGACCTACTTAACATGTTTTTGATTAAAACAATTCTATTGCTCAAAATCAACAAACATGAAACCACCTTGTTGAGTTGAGCAATTCATAAGAAGTGATAGCAGCAATAAAATTGTAAAACAAAGTAGAACCAACATCTAAAGATGATCCTCTAACTCCCATATCACAGAACTTTTTAACAGCCTTTAAATTTGATAATGTTATAATAAAACTTCTGAAGTTTTATTATGGAATTTAGTTTTGACGTCCGACCCCAAAGTCCATCTTACCAAGTTTTAAAATCTTATATCCAACCAAAAAGTCTTTTTGATCTTGTTTTGAGACTGATTTACTAAACAAGAACTGATTGTGTAAGAATAATAATCTTGTTTTCAGAATGTGTAAGATTATTTGTCTTGTTAGTCTGAAAATTTGACTCAAATTAAGTCAAAATATCTCCCAGTGGAGTAAAAAATTTTTACTTGGTAAGATTCCTAAAATACTTGATTTGACTCAATTTTTTTTATTTCAAGAATCTTACCAAGTAAAATTTTCTTACTCCATTGGCAGAAATTTTTCACTTAATTTGAGTCAAATTTTCAGACTAACAAGACAAATAATCTTACACATTCTGAAAACAAGATTATTATTCTTACACAATCAGTTCTCGTTTAGTAAATCAGTCTCAAAACAAGATCAAAAAGATTTTTTTGGCTGGATATAAGATTTTAAAACGGTAAAATGGACAGTTTTTGCAGTGTATCCGTTGCCCACATCTGGCCCATTGAAACACTGGCAGGTCCTCTAACCATAATTGTTCTTTTGTTTCTTTGTTTTGCAGAAAAAACCCTCAGAAATAAAAACTTAACTGGATTAAGAAATAATCCACAAATACTTGACAATTATCTGGAAAATGCAAAATTCTAAGTGGGATTCTTACATTTATTAAATAAAAGATAAAATACACTCTGGATGATGACCCCTACAAACATATTCGACACAATCAACATGAAGTATTACGAAATGGCTGGATCACTACAAATTTAGAAACCCTCCTTCAGTGTGAAGTCAGTCATGATGCTTTTACCAACTATCTTCCGTACCCTTGAGGCTTTCTTGCCTGCCCTCCACATGCTCTATATGTCAGCAGGTCCTTTTGGTAATACGACCACATGCCCACAGTTGCACCATGACAGAGACCCTGCCCTGGAGCAGCTCTCAGACCATGTCGGGCTGCAACTACACACAAGAAGATCACACTACACAGATGCTACCAGCATGACTAACATGACTGTGCTTGATTGCACCATGATCTTGTCACAAACTACAGAACCTTTCTAAATATATGGGATACTTCTGGGTATCTACATTTAGTTTCAGAAGGAGTAAAGGACTTTATGCGGAGTCTTTACCACATCCAAACTCATCACGAGAACAAGCACTTGTTGCTTCAGAAAGACAAAGGCTGGGCGAGCACTGTGCTGTATTTACTGGCTTGTGGAAAGCGTGGATTGGTCATTGCAGCTGTGCGGTGAGAGCATGAAGAGGCATGATACGGTCTTATTTGGTTGTTGAGAGAGCATTAGTGGGATGTGATGCACTTAACAGTCGCACCACCAAAAGTGTTGCAGTAACTTACTTGGAGCTCGGAGTGTGTGGTGTTGGTGTGATAGAGTTGTGCTCTAAAGCCTGATTTATGCTCAGTCTCACGTCTCGCTTACATGGGTGATGAAAAACCTGGGCTCAAACCTGCAGCCTCAGGATTATGGGACCACAGCACTGACCACTGATGCTTCAGTCCTGTTTTTAAAGCCTGTGTTGGATGATTACACTGAGTTTACAAGCAGTCAGGCTGCCAGCTGTGTGGCAGACAGGCTTCCAGACTACACTGTGTCCAACTCTGTCTCTCTGATTGAGAAAAGTGTTGCTACTCTGAATTAAAAAGGTAACGACCGCAAAACAGCACATTTTAATTCATTGAGTACTCATCTGCAAATGACTGGTGCTTAATTCAGTTTAATGTGACCAGGCGCTTCGCTGGCAACAAATGAGGTGCTACAAAATCCCACTGTGTGAATGAGCTGTACATAAAAGAAGCAGAATGGAAAAGCACAGTATTTTTTGTTTTTGATTAAAGACAGCTTGTTTACAACAGAGTTCACAATGAAACACTGAGGTACAAAAATCACATTTACTAAAGCATTTATGGTAAAACTGCCAAACACAGACACTGAGATTCATAAAACAGAAAACATCAGCAAAGGTAACAGAACAGGTTGCTCATCATGAATAACTAAGCAGGACATTTATCAAAGATTGCTACATTTACTCCTCATTTTGGGGGAGAAATCTTATCCAAAGAGCCAAAAATCATGAATTTTTTAGTCCAAAAGGACAAAGAAGCAGAACAAATTAGACAAATCCTTGATAAAGTATACAAAGCAATCTGCTCAGCTGATCCAAGCCAAACCCTTCAGACGTGCTTGTAAATGGGCCCATGCAACAAGAGTCCTCCATTGGTTGGCCAGGCAGTCAGTAGCCATGGCAACCTGAAGATGGAGGCGAGCAGAACAGGGGAGGTGGGTGGCATCAAATGGCAGAGACAGGAAAGAGGACACTTCCACCCACTCGCTACTATAGCAATGTAGTACAGAGCGAGATGGAAGCAGTGACGGTGTGTCACGTTCACACCCTGACATGTTAATCTGGCACAAATGGAGCCCAGAGGTAGTGAGAAGACAGAGAAGAAGAATGAAGCGAAGAAGAAAAGAGTTACTAAAGAAGACAGAAGAGACAGACGAGTACAAAGACCTGGAACCAATTTTGCAGCCTCTGTGTTTGTTCCCCACAAAAAGAAAGAAAAGAAGAAGTAGTGCTAAATGATTTTTACTCTTTTGCCTCAGCCAGTTTGTTGTTGATCTCTTTACTTTTCTCCTTGTCCCCCACTGCTGGCCGGTTCTCAGGCTGATTCTCTGAGGTCGTCTTCTTGGGGCCCCTCAGCGTGGCACTTTGCTTATCTTTGGCTTTCCTCACTGGTTTGCCCTGGCCTGCTGCTGTGGATCCAGACTTTTTGGGTTTAGAGCGCGGGACACTATACCTGTCAACCTAAGGATGTCAGATAGCAAAGAAGTGATTCCTGAGCTGAAATAAGTCATGTTTTAAACAAATCTCAGCACAGCAGAAGGTTAGKCAGGCCTCACCTGTTTGCTGGGATCGACGTACGGTTCGCTGTACAAACTGCGTATCCTCCTCCTCTCCTGAGCTTTGTTGTCAACAGGCTGCAGTGGAGCTAGTGCCTTGAAGGTGGCGCTGTAGCTCGTCTCCAGGRTCGTCTTTCCATCAGGTGGCAGATACTGAGACTTAGCACGGATCATTTTTACTGGCTTCACGTCTCGGTAAGCCTTGAACTCAGTTCTGTTTGGAGAAAAAAAACAAACAAAAAAGCTTTACATCAGTGGTCTTAAAACTATATAGTATTTAGCTTTTTTAAAATGTAAATCTAGACAAAACTATTGATGACTTTTTTGTTAGTCCGTTGAATATAATTGACAGGGCTGATAGTATTTTGGCTTATCCCGGGGAAAAAATAAATAATAAATAAAAAATTAGGTTTGCCATGCCACAGATTTAACAGACATTTCTCRAGACCAATCCAAGGTGCAGCTTTCACTTTAAACACTCTCAAAGGCCTCTTAYCCAATCAGAAATCAGGTGGGGGCGGGACTTGAAAATCATCGATACTTTGATTTAGAAACACCAGAAGTTGAACAGTGCTCAAAATAAATGAATTTCTTTACTAAGACCTTTCTTTTTTTCTTTCTGCTTTTCTGTGTGTTGCTTTAATATGTAATAAAATATACACATGAATTCTAATTTATTATAAAACGTATAAAGATTCTATTTAAGTATTAAATGCTTATAGAGAGAATACAGATATATGAATGTATTTAAATGCAGAACAAGAAATTCCATTGTTACAACAGACAAAAAAATCCAACAATATTCAAGAAAAAAACACTATTTAGCAAGATAAAATACAACAAAAATACAGCAACAAATCAAAAGGATGACATGGTGCAACAAAGTGAGTAAGAATAAAACTGAACAATTCATGAATCAAATTGTGTCAATGGTTTAAACTGGGCAAATTTGAATTGAAACTGTACAAGATAATTGACTTAAACTTTAAAATTCAGATATGCATCATGATTTCAAATTCACTGTCTGGCAAGACGATCAGTTTTTTAATACACAAGCTATAATTTTCCTTTTATAAAAGTGAATTTTGATTTAAACTAAAATAAATATAAAAAGACCTAAAGAAGTTTCAGAGAGGTTTTAAATATTTCTAATGTGATTGTTTTTACTGTGAAAGTCAAACTTTGTCAACTCAATTTTTAAAAAGTTTTTAATTTCATGAAACGACAATAATCGTATAAATTAGCTCATTCTAGTTGGTACATTTAACTGTGATTTTTCATAAAGAAACCCAATCTGTTCTGAAGCGTACAGATTTTAAATGCGTAAATGTAAAAGTATAAATGTGATACATTTTTATCAAAAGTAAATCAGCTTTTGATACAGAAAACCCAGAGTTGAACCTGGAGTTTATCTAATTAAGCCAATAAAACAATAAACTGTTCAACAAGAGGTAAAGCCAGAACACAGTAAACTAAAACCTAAGGTCAAAACTAAAACGCAGTCATGCTAAAACCCAAAATCATTCACATATAATCTTGTTGATCTGAACTTGTATTATGTGTCAGATGGTAAATTTAAGCCCCCTTTGTATCAAAATATGACCAGAGGATAAAATATCCTTCTGCCATAACATAAAGAGGGAAGTATCTGATTCTGCAGTGAGGCTGCTGACAAAGCTACAACTGCTGAGTACAGAAATCTCTTCTTGAAATGCTGCAGAGGAGAGGTGAAACTCACACAGAGTCATTACATAACAAGACTGAAGTCCATTTATAATGCTCAGCTCAGCCCAGTGGGCTTGATGCAAAGAAAGGTTATACAACAACAACAACAAGGCCAAGAGTGTAACATGTCCACATGGCATCACTGTGTGTGTGTGTGTGTGTGTGTGTGTGTGTGTGTGTGTGTGTGTGTGTGTGTGTGTGTG